AAAAATTAGAAAGTGTGTTAGCAAATGCTCCCATGCAAAATTCTAAACTTTATTCACTTTATTTATATATTTAACAATTCTAAAGTATTTACTTCTTGCTTTGACAAAAGAATGAAAAATATAGGAGCACTTTACTCTCTTTAGGAGAGAAGGGTTATATATATACAGCTATGGAGAGATACTGGTTCCTCCTTTACATACAAAGAAAAATAATATTAATAAAAAAGTGCTTCATCAATCAAAAAAAGACTAAGAGCTGCAAGCATTTATTCACACTGTACATCACAGACCCCCCAAACCCGTATCAAACCCTCTTGGCACCTGTCATTAGGAACTGCAGAATCTTAGACTTATTTTTGACTGTCTACTTGCACCACAAACGCACACGACGTTAGTGTGTAAAACGCTACCAGGTCTCCTAAAATCAAACTTCTCATCACCCACCTCAGTGGAAGAGCCAGAGAGACAGGAGCTGCACGTCAGCCTCTTCCCGTTCCCCCTTGCTCTGCTTTACCTGACAGATTAATGCCTAAAGCTCTATTCCAGGTATTTGCTGCACTGTTTTAGGAACAAATACTTATAGCTACACCTCCGACCGCAAACCCCATCTTGCCGTTGCTTTTTCCTCCTGATGATTTAACACATTTCAAAACATAAACCAGGCATGATCCCGACAGGCTTCGTTACCAGCTCCCCTTCCCATAAGGATGCAGGTCACTGTGCTCAACCAGCTTCCTGGACATTCATTGTTCTGTACATGTTGAGCTTACACTGCAGCAGGGTCACGATCCTCTCCAAGGCGTGGGAAGTTTAAACATCACAAATAAATTACCTGGACACTTCTTTCCCCATCCAATTGAACAAATATTACAGGATGGTTTTCTCTGCGTGCGACTCACTCTGGGCTATGTAATTCTGATACTGCACTGAAGGAAAGTGCTCCTGTCCCAATACTTGATTTTTTCTTTGAGCTTTCTATTAAAAAAACTTTCAAAAATTCCAGCAGGACTTTTTGTTCTGGAGGATATAATGGGTCGTAACTTTGTCTCAGCAGTAAATTGTGAAGTGGGGTATTATCATATACATTTCTTCCTTGTCTGTACTAAACAGGTTCTACCAAAGGGAAGAGGGGGTGAGTACCTAAGGCTCTCATTTAGACATATTCAAGACATTTATGCTTTAATGAAGTGACTTTACAAGCTGACTCAGATGGGGACAGAAGAAGAAGAGGAATCCATGATTTATTTAAGGTCTCTAATCCTCAGGCAGGATTTTCCTATCTGGAGTATGATGAATATATACTGAAAAAAAAAAAAAAAAGAGGAAACATCCCAGGAGTATCACAAACACCATCTCGTGGACCGAGCCCAGTTAAAACACCAGCACAGCACCATGGTTCTTCAGCTGCTTTGGATATTGTCATGGAGGTGCAAGTGTGATCAGCACAGCGGGTAGGACCATGCCCCGTGCGCCGCTCCAGAAGCAGCTCTGCCTGCTGAGGAAACCACCCGGCAGACGGGGCAAGAGCAGTCTAAAGTCTTCCACTTCCCCACGTGTCTTTAAATAATGAATTGCATTTCCAGCTGGAGGTGCCAGTGTCAAACCAACCTCAGCTCGGCAGCCCGTTCAGTCCCCTTCCCACCCCTCTCAAACAAGCGCACACTTTCCTTAGCCAAAGTGGTTCAGGTGTTTCCACGCAGAGCCACAGCTAACCAGGGTAATGGCAATAAAACACGCAGGTTATATCGGTAAATACAGAGCCGCTGAGTAGGGAAATCTGTGACTGATTCCTCCTTCACGCAGTTGAGGATAACTAAGCCCACTCTGAGAACAGAGAGGGAGAGTGCTCTCTTGGGAAAGAGATTCCCATTTCTTCTAGCAGCAACAGGTTCCCAAACAGCAGTTTCTTGTTTGGAAGTAACAGGAGTGATTGAAAGCATTAGCATTGATGCTACAGATATTCACACTTTGCACACTGACTCTGGACTGATTCCCCTCTTCTCCTTTCCTCCATAAAACAGTCTGTCTGCAACACAGTTCAGCAGTGGGATATGAGGGGATCTGGTTTGGGTGCCAGCTCCCTTCCCACTTCACAATCTTCCAGCAAACAAACAAATATATATATATATATATATTACTATATATATACACACACGCATCACGCACCCACACACCCATACATACACGCACGCACACAAATAGGACAGAAAGGAAAGGGGGGAATAACTGGAAAAGGAGAATTCCACAATCCAGTGGTTCGTCCTAGATTTCTGTCCCGCCGAGCACGGATCCATGCCCCACACTCCAAAGTGCATGGCTCCTCAGTGCTCCCAGCCTCCTCCCGCCACGACTGTGCACGTCTGTTTGGGGAAGAGTCAACAGGGCCGTTCCCCTGTTCCTTCTAGGCTGGAGCTTTAATTTGACGTGGCAGTGATGGGTTTATCCAGTTCGAGATCAAGGCTGGAGCTACTCGGGTGCAAGCTGCTGTAGCAGGATTTGCAGACTCTGCTGGGTTCGAAGAGCTGCTGACTGGGAACTGGCACCTTCTGGTTACAGCAACTGGAGCAAAACACATTCCCACAATTCCTTTGGTCAGGAACAGAGGAGAAAGGAAAAAATATATATTAGTAGCAATGTGATGGTGTAACCCCAATTCTAAAATTACACTGCTCCTAGGTGGTGTGAAGGGGTCACCCTGAACATGGCAGTTACTATGCCCTAAGTAACAGACTGCATGCGGTACATGATAGCACTCCTGTCACCGCTATCTTGTGAGCGTACGGCTGAGAGAGACAGCAAACAAGGAGCCTTCCTCCATATGGAGCGTATTCCAGGAGGTAGGAATCATGAGTTGCGGCTCCCACTCACTTCTCGAGCTTTGTGTTACAGCAATACTGGATACTGGTGTCCTGGGAGAAGGTAAAAGTCTCTGTTCCTTCACACTTCTAAAAGTGAGTGTCAGGAAGAGCAGTACAGAGACATTTTCTTCCGTTTCTTCCAAGTTGGAAGGTTTAAAGCATGGGAGAGATGGAAAAACAAAAAGCCACGGCTGTGGTAGATGCAATCCTCCTGCTGCCCCAGCGACACAGTCTCTCCTGCAGGGCCCCAGCAGTCCCACACTCCTGCACAGAGTAAACAGAGAGGCAGCAAGGATCATGCAAAGCCACGAGAGGGGCGGGCAGGCTCATGTGCGGGGCTGGCGGTGCCGCTGCGCGGGGTGAGCGGCCTCGCACGCACCCTGCTCAGCTGGCAGCAGCGGGGGCACATGCACCTCGCGGGAGCCCAGAAGGAGATTTACACCTCAAAAATAATCGTTCTCTTCTGCAGCACCTCCCCTCAAAACCTGCTACTGATCCAGCTAGCTTGATGAGCACTGCAGCACCCTGTCCTCCAAAACTCATCCATTTTTATAAGGAGTTCACAATACCACTTCAGGGACCTGAATTTTTCAAGTTTGCCTCCATGCCCTTTTCATTAACTCTTTGGCATCAGGATTTTGTACCATTATCATTCGATGCTGGAAAAACTTCGCTACTGCCACAGGACTGACAGAAAATTCTGCCTCCATCCAACAGCTTTGATTAATCCTTTATTGCCAAGAGACAAGATTTCCAGATGATGGTCGCTGGCGGAGAGAAAATCAGCAAAGAGAAATCCCATTTCTCACTTCAGCGGGCTAATTTTCTCAGCTCTGCGCAGCACCGCCTGGTTTCAAAGTGACAACCCTAGCACTAGGAGCCTCACAACTGCTAGCCTTTTTGCAGTGATGCTGAAGTCTTCTTAAGGATTCTGTTAAAAATTACTATCAGAAAAAAAAACAGGAGTGAAAACACTTCAGTGAGGTGTTATACAGAAAAACCCTGCAGAAAAGCAGTTCAGTCATTCCACATCTCTGCTGCTGAAAGAACCATTATCCAGCAAAAACTTACTGTTGACAGACGAGGTCAGAAAGCAACTGGAGAAATTAAAACAGTTATTTGTTGTAGTTCACCAGCTTGCTAACACGTGCCTGTTTTCTTGCTTGTTTTATTGCTGTGTGATGGAGAACAGTGTGTGATAACTCTTCTCCCACTAGCTGCGGAAAGCTCTTAACATCTCAATTCCTTCTATCCTGGTGGACCTCTGCTTTGATTGAGAAATTAAAAATAGAGATGCTAAAACACAATGGAGAACTGTGTTTCCCCTTTTGGGAAATGAGGTCCCCTTCCTCAGTTAAAATCATGACTTCTACTAAATCATGGCTGTCTGCCCATTTTTGGCAATACTGACCCCTTTACGAGCTTTGCACTGCCTGCCTGCTCCTGCCATAGCATTTTCACTCCTAAAAATCAATGGCAATTTTTTGACAAAACAGGGCAAAGCTATAGTACAGTCACTTAAAAACATGGGGACTTCTCCTACAGTGAAGGCAAGAAGGGAAAGAATCAAAAAAAAAAAAAAAAGCCTCATGACTAAACTCGAAGGCTGATCTGTTTTTGGTTAGAAGTGAAGCATTCTCTGTTACTCAAATTAATGACCGATGGTGAATGTTAGTGTGATCCACATCACAGATGAAGCTATCAAAAGTCAAGTCCTAAACTGCCGTTTGGGGGATGTCTGCTTAGAGCCATGTGAATCGAAACGCCCAACAGGTTGTGCTATCTAGCCCCGAATCATTGCTAGTCATTTCTAGGCAAGTGAAAAACAAAGTGGGGGAACAGAGCAAGTTAGTTTGGAGAAGTTACCAAGAAAACGCAGACAGACAACAGACAGAGGCTGTTGTAAATGCTCACCAGATTTGACCAACACGTTCAATGTCCCTGCAAGGAGGGGAGAAAGAGCTCAGAAGGGAACTAGCAAAGGAAGCAAATAGTGGCAATGAAGGAAGCTGAATATTTTTATCCTGATCAAGCCCTTCAGAATATGTGGTTTTCGACTCCTTTTCACTCTCAGATAAGGTCATGAGTAGACGGTCCCTTGGTCACCGGGCTTTATGAAAATGTAAGCTATAATTTTGTTGTTGTTTTTGTTGTATATGACACTATTCCTTACTGGTCTCTATCATAAAAAATAGTGGCTTAATAAGGAGAGCCTATTGAACCCAGGTTAGATACCTGAAAGTCAAAGAAAAAAAGACACTTAAGGGAATTTTGTCACAAAACTTGAAACTTCAACAATTTTAACTGCTCCTGGTGTTGGAGTTGTCCCTGTGCACTAGTTCTCCAGAGTCTGGCCCTAGAAAATATAAATATAGATGCTAAATGCCAATGCAGTGAAGCAAAGAGGCAGGGGGACAATGCTGAATGGGATACTCTTCATGATGGATAACCAAATAAACAAACCCACTAGAAAGAGGACAAAAGAAAGCACCATGGTAATTCTTACAAAATCCTTCAGGTATATATTGTATGTTTACAATTATATTTTCCACCTGAAGCCATAAGACACACTTAAATAAATTTGTCCAAACACACGGGACATGAAACTGGGAAAAAATAAAACCATTCAACTTCTGCTCATTGTTCTGTGGGTTTGTTCATCTTTATGAGATGACTAAATGGAGCAAAATATAAAACGGACACAAACCAAGAAAGTTCCTTTTATCAACTGCAACTTCAAAAAGCAATTGAGCATCAAAATGAGATAACTGCCATTTATCTAAATCATAACTCTTGAAATCATTTTCTGATGTCCACAATTCAGGAATAGGCTTTGTTTGAAAATGGAACTCAGAAATTGGATTCTCTGTCTTAAACCAGAATATGGTCTCATCAAAAGGCAGCTATCACTTGCCACCAGCGATATCTATTGTGGCCTCTGTGAGTGACTTATTTTGCAAAGAATAATCCAACAACTTTTATTTCATGTAGGTGTCTCTTTCAGATTGTCTTGTAAAAGCAATTTAATGAAAAGAGAAGAACTATTAGAGAAGGAAAGCAGTTTGAACCAGGAATGGAAGAAAAAATGCTATTCATGTCCTTGTTGTATTGAATGCAAAGCAGACAAACCAGTATTTTTATTATTTCTATCCACTTAAAAAGCCGTGTTTGTAAACAGCAGCCTACAGCTTCACTTTGAGGCCAAAAAAGGCTGGATATGTTTAGGCTGGAGTGGAGCAGACACCAAATATGGCTTTGGAAACATATACACTGAATGCACTGAAATGTAACAGGAAAACCTGTTCCTTTTTCCCAAAGTTCTTGGTTCCTTTATTTGCTTCAGGAGCACAGATGGTCCTTCTGCTCTGAAATTCTTAGTTTGAAGTCCATCCTTGACAAAGAAACACATGTCAAAAGAAAACCCCTTCCTAGTGTAGGAGCAGAAGTGGCAAGTCAAGCCCTGACCTCGCCTTCCTGTTAGCCGATATCCCTCCTATCCTCTCTCAATACACGAGTTACCTGCAGTGGTGCTTCCTGCTGGCAAGCCAGAACATGCTGTCACAGCCGTAGCAATGTGCAGCGAGGTGGTCTGGAAGCCATCGTGTCACCTGGGAGAAATAAAACACAAAGACATGTTTACCACGGAGAGATCACTGCATCAGAAACAAGACCATCTCATTTGAGCTCACAAAGTCAAAGCAAAGCAGCACGAGAAAAACATTTGCTCTGTTTCAAGAGCACAAGCAGTGTTGCAATGGTGAAAGAGCAAAAAGAGAAAAACCTTCCCCTTGAAAACAGCTGCACTAATTTTCCCTTGGACAAACAGGAAAAAAAAAAAAGGCATAAAGTCAAATTTCCTAGTTTCTTTCCGTCTTTCAAAAACATCCAGGCCAAGAATATTTCCAAAGCGTGTGTCAGTGAAAGGCTCCTTTAGCTCTTCCTCCCTGCCACAGCTTTCTGAAGACAGTTCACAGACAGTGGACAGCAGAGGGCTCATAGGCACAGGTACCGATACTCAACGTAGGAGAGACAGGTGAGTGCAAGGGGGACAGTTCATAGGAACTGGCATATGACCAGAGGAAGTAATTTGACTTATGAATATCTCATCCTACGGAAGGAAAGGACGATGGATTTACAGGGATTTAGTCTGTACCTCTGTGTCCTGTTTATCCACCTGCTCCCAGCTGGCTTCAGAGAAAATCTCTGTGCTGCAGCGAGACAAGCAGTTCTGATCCATATTGCTTTCCGAGTCGGGTATAGAAGTCTGTTGGCAAACAAACACAGCTGAACAGAACTATCCCATATTCCTACTTCCATGCAAATAACAACTGGTGGTGAAGGGGAATGAAAAGGGTATCTCCTGCTAGGAAAGAGCACGCTAGATTCATCTGGGAAGATCTTATGTAACCTCTATACAGTGCACGTGGTGGCAAAGGTTGAAAGGAGCTACAAATGCCCCAAACTGAAGCAGTTTGTACAGTGGCAAACTGCAAGAAAACAGGTATTTTCTTGACCTTCTGATGACTGTGTGATGGAAGGTGAAATGGATTTAAAATCTAGGTGTTACCACTAAGTTCTAGCAACATATTGAGTGATGTGGGAACCTAAAGCTCCTATTTGTGGCTCTAGTTTCAGAGTCTTGTTTCCTTTCCGTGGTCATTTCACTTTCAGAACTAATACTAGTAACATATACCAGTCCAAAAATCTCACATGGAAAACTAAGAATTTGAACCATTTCCAGAGAAAGCTTTGGAGGAATAATGCATCCTCAAAATACAATTCTCCCTGGCTGGGCTATATTAACTGACCTACATAAAACTCTGCCAGGCCTTAAATACATGGAAGGATCGAGATGTCTTGCTACGTCTGCTAGTGCCTGAGGAATTGGCACCCTGGGAATTGTGGAAGAAAACCCTGTTACTCCCAAGTGGAGGCAGAAATAGGAGATAAAGGTTAGATTCTTTAAAACAGTGGAATTTTCTAAAGGACAAAGTGATTTCACTCCCAGCCCTACACAATTTGTGAAGGCCCTTAAAAATGAAAGCATAATAAATTAAGCCAAAGCTCCGCATTTCCCCAAGGAATCCAAGCTCCTGCAGTGAGAGCAGTTGCACTGAATTTCAATGACACTGGTCTGACATGGATGCCTGGACCAAGCACTTAACATTAGCATCATTACATCTAACTTTAATAGCCAAGAAGCCCCTGAACCTCTCTCTTGACAAATGTACCTGGGACTATTCAGCACCTCTGCCACTTCCAAAGAAATCAGGAGAAACAGAAACAAATCTGGAAACATCTTTTTTTTTTTTTTTTCCAAATTTGCAGGCATATGGAGCATACTATAATATGCTTAGCAAAAATATCCTTTTCCTACATGCACAAGGCCAAGCTCAGGACCTAGAGAAAAATCCTTCATTTGCTGCTCCAACACAAAGGCAGATGAAAACTCTATTTGAAAAATTCTCCTAAATCTCCTCACTTTTCCCTTCACATTCATCTCCCTCTCCTGTGCCTACCAGTTGCCTCTTTTCTCTTCCTTAAAAATATTGAGCTTTTGGAAAAACAAGTTTGCAGCAACCCATGTAACTGCTTTGTGGTCAAAGGCCACTCTTCTGCTTGTTTTCTTAATCAGTGTTGTATTCAAGCAACAGCATAAGGCCAGTGACCACATGTCTTTGGAAATTTTATTCTTAATTTTTAGTCAAAAGAAGAACCACTGCTCTGCGCTCCATCTTTCCTTCCCTGAGCGTGCAAAGCATCGAAAGACGGGTCCCATCCTCCTGTCCCACTAAATGACATATGCAGATCTTCAGAAAAATACCTTAGCCCTTGCACAAGTACCAGGATTTTTGAACACCCTGATTAGCCTTATTCAACAAGACATCCAAGTATGTGCTAGTTTACTGCCAAGCATATAGCTCAGCAAATATAATCCCTATCAGTGGTCACACTGAAATACAGTGAAAATATTAGTCATCATTAATGATCTCTTGCCATGTGTTCAATCAGCTGCTTGCCATTTTCAGAGTAACCTTGAGAGCTTGATAAAGCCTCATCAGCTTTATCAAGCTTTATCAAGCTCTCCCAAAATCACTGCTTTAGTGAACTAAGAGCTGACATTATGGTGAGAGACAGAACTGGACCAACTGGCCCCCTGTTCTCAGCAGTGGTCCAATTACCCTGTCACTTACCACTTCATCTCCATAATCACCATTGAGACGCAAGGAGCTGTTCAGGAACTGGCTCTCCAGGCGACTTTTCAATTCTTGCAGTTGTTTCTTCAAGGTCTCCACTTCGCAGGCGCTGCTGGATTACATCGATGTAGACAGGCATCCCATCATCATCCAGGTGACTTCTGGCCGGTTGGTCTGGGCTGCTGGCTGTCTGCTGCTTCCCAAGATGACTAGACACCCATTTTTGGTGCAAGTTCCTCAAGTGAAACTGAGCAGAACTGCAGCTAGCTGTAGAGACCTGCCGACTCAGAGAAGCTTTGATCCTACCGTCCTCTCCATTCACACAATGTCCGTTTGTCGCAGAATATTTCTGGGGAACTCTAAACCCCACAGGCTTCTCTGCCACCTTGTTCTCAGGCTCCAGCTCTCCATTACAAACAATCTCCTCTTTACATTCAGCTAAAGGCAAGGCACAAGGGGAAGGCATCGGGATGTGTGTGTTGCTGCTACCAGAAGTCCTATTTACTTTTGTTCCCAGTTTTTGAAGTTCTAGCATGCTTTCCCCCTCCAGCCTATTTTCAACAGTTCGAGAAAGTTCATCAGCACTGTTGTCCATCACACGAGGTCTATGGCAAAGACCTTTAGGAATCAGCTCTTGCTTTGTTTCATTCTCTGTTAAGGTTTCGGTCGAACTTTCAATGTTGGAAGTGATTGCCTCATGTTGGATTGTGAGAGGTATTGGAAGGCTGTCCTGTGGTGCATTGTACAGACCCTCTGATTCTCCTTGAAGCTTGCTAACATCTTCCTCCATGTTCTTTTGAGCATCTCTATTTACAAAACTCTCCAAAGGAACAGTTGGAAGTCCTCTCACCTGAGGTAACTTCTGGATAATGCTACTGAGATCAGTATGCTCATCCTGTTGTCCTTTCAGCTCAGAAGCACCTTGTGAAACTGGATGTGGATTTGCCACTGGATTGTTCATCACAATACCTTTATCCACCTCAGTCTTTTCACAGATGTCACTGACATACCCCTGCAGATTTTCAGTTCTGTTCTCCTTACCCAGGGCAATCTCATCCTCTTTACCTGCTGTCTCTAGACTACCCCTTGCGTGCTCCTCCAGAGCAACATCATCCTTAGTGGCCTCTTGCAAAATGTTCTCCATCTGTCCCTCTGCTACGCCAGCTGCAACAGAAAGTTCTGCTCCAACTGGAGCCCTGCCTTGTTTGCTCAGGCTGTCCCCATCAAACGGATCATCCCCTGGGTTACCAAGGCTGCTCAGCTCCAGAGACCTCCGGTGCTCTTGCCACTTTTCATTTAGGCTGGGATCGCTACTGCGTCGATTGGTTGTAGGCATGCTGCTATCACAGGCTGTTGTCAGATTGTCAAATGATCTTGTCTTTGGTAACCTATGATGGTAAAAATAATCAAAAGTCAAAGTTAGCACATTTCTTTTTCAATGTTTAGTTACCAAGATTTAGAAACTCATTAACTGTTAGAGCAGTAATAATCTGCTAACTAGTGGAATTTTGTAAAGTATTATCTAAGAGCACACTTTGACCTTACATAGTGCAAAGTTGCTTCAGTACTTTCTTTCTTTGCCATCAGGAAAATATGTTCAAGCAGACTTTCAACACTCCCAGAACAATCCCCTCACTACAAAGCACAAACACTTAGACTCTGGTCTCATCTCCCATTTAGAATGTGCTCACATTCATCTTACAAAAAAAGTGAAGAAATAGGTAAACAACAAAGGAGAAATCATGGAGAGAAAAAATTCAAGGTAACTTAAGTGAATGCCTACAGCCTGCAAGGATATAAGGAATCCCACAAGGCTACAATACATTCAGAGCATAATTCTGTTTGCTAATCTTCTTTTGTTTTAATGCATTTGTTACACTAGGACCTCAGCTTTCTATCTAGACTATAACAAGAAAAGAAGACTTTCAGGTAAGACAGTTGAACAGTCCCGCAAATAAGCCTATGAAGAACAGCCCCCTCCCACAATGAGTATTCTCTTTTTTATATCCCACAATATTCTCTGTTGATCTTACTTTACAGGACTGGATTTCTGGGCTCTAGGCTCACCTGCCCAGAGGCTGATCTTCAGGGCTGGAGCCTGGAACAGGGTATGGGGCACAGGTGTCATCGGCAGGTGTGGAGGGGGAAGAGCACGGCAGGTAAACGGCACTCCAGAGCATGAGGTTTCGCACATGGCACACTGGATACAGCACCTGGGAGAGAACAACACAAAGGATGTTAAGAAATGTTCACTGCTCACTCTCCAAATGTAAAAAGATGTTCAAATATGGCTATGGATTTCTCTGCTTATTCTTCAGCTATGAAGCTGTGAGGCCTTGCTAGATCTCTAAATAATCCATGGTAGTTTAAATCAGTTACACTTGGCTATATAATTATCTTTTCTTTCAGCAAAGGAGGCCGAGGCATAACAATGCTGGCTTTCAACTCCTCGTGAATGACCTACTGCAACATGTCCTGTGTGAATCTACACCTTAAAAACACTCCTGAGCAATTTAAACTGCTGAAGAATTCAGTGGCCCATTGATACTGCAGAGATTTCCTTGTACATTGAATTATATCGTGCCATGAGAGAGCTGAACTAATAACCTCTTTCCACCAGCTGCAATTCATCAAAGCTAACGCAGCCTTTATCGGAAGCACTCATACGTGAAAAATTAGGCACTTTGCTGAACAGGCAAGATGGTCCCAAAAGGGATTCCTTGAGTATTGAATAAGCTTTTTGCTTCCCTTTTAAAACACCTTGGGTCACTCTATCGATTCCACTGTTTTCCTAGACAACTTCCTAGTGGAAAAGCAGAGGACAGGAGAGAAACAGCCAGATGAGCAGCGGGAGGAAATTTGGGATATCTTGGTCTGATGGATGTTGCTCTTAAATTACTGTGTTTTTATAATAGATGTGGCTAGATCACAAAGGCACCTTATGAACACGAAAGCAAAATCACAAAGAAATCAATGCAAGAAAGGAAATTACCCAAACTCCTACATACAGACAAATTATCCAAATTGGCTTCGTGCAATACGGTATAGGATTTGCTGATAACAGGGGCCAAGTCACTGAGACTGCATCTATTTTGCAGGATACAGCACGTAAGGGCAGCCCCAAGGACAGGAGAGCTATCTGTCTCCAAGCCTGCTTTGAAGAGCAGTCTGTAGGCTCCTCCTGGGCAAACTTGCTGATGTTCTCAGAGAAGACAGACAAGGATAGAGGGCCAATGTGAAGAGAAAGATGATCTCATTATCTTTATGAAAAATGTAAATATAAACTCCTGCAGAGCCAGGTTTTAATTTTATTCTAAGGGACAATTAAAACCCTCATTTATCATATGCAAAAGCATAGCGTAGTCCTTACATTTAAGTCTATATTGTCTGGTAATTTTAAAAACAAAAAGTGTTTAAAGAATTTATTAAAGTCTTTGCTGTCCTAAACACAGTGATATTCAATAAATGACTGTTCACATAGCATGCTTGCCACTGCGTCATGCCATGCCCATCATATTCCATCTCCATCTGAACATCTTACGTGCCCTTTATCAAATATACACACAAAAAATAATTGTGAGCCCCTTCCCAGAAGCTTAATTGAGCTATTTCTGTGAAGCCAAGATGAAAAGGTGGAAGAGAAATACAGATATGCTAAATAACCTGAGTTATATTTTCTGTTTAGATCTGATACTAATGCAAACTGTCTGTAGGTAAATGTTTGTAGGCAATCTTACGACCTTCCTCTGAAATATTCCTCAGTTCTCTAGAAAGGTCTAATTGACAAATGCACACACACAAAATAGTTTTTTTTTGGTTACAAAAACATGAGCAAAATATTTGGGCACACAAAATATGTTTCCAGGATAGAGATATTCCTGAGGTTGCATTTGATATTCTATAAGAGTCAACAGCATATAATGTTATGTGAATATTTCAGTCTCAAAGCTTTGCACTGGGGAGTGTATACCATAAATTAAGCTTGAATGAGTAAAACATAAGACTCAATAGACTGTTCACTAGTAAATATTGATGAGGAGAGAGGAGGCATTTTCAGAAAAAAATGCACTCTCTCTGCATTGTATTCATGAGAACAGCAAAGCAGTATGATTTCTCACTGCTATAACTGTGTATTTTCTTAATGTACGTGCTTCTGAGAACATTATACCCAGGAGCCTCTAAAGGGACTCTCACGATGTGGTGTGGAATAAAGATTACATACAGATTCAGATTGAGAGGAGTAGAGCAGGTTCTTGAAGGCTTTATTTGCTGCCCGCAGCAAAGACCAGACAGAACAGGTCCGTTCCTGCGTGTGTTTCTCTCCTCTCTCTTTCGCATTGTTGCACAGGAATGTACCAAAGAGGCAGGAGTAGGTGTGCTGCACCAATTTGACCTGCACAGAGCAACACAAACACAGTTATACAGCAGAAGATAGCAGCTTATGTAACAACTAAGAATCCACGCTTAAGCAGCAATGAATCTTCACAAGGCCATACAGCCCCTTCTAAAGAGTGATACACAAACATACTTAGCATTTTTATGTCTTCCTTGAAACTTAATTGTGAAAGAATTCAAGCAAAATGGAAACATTTAAAATCATAACAAAAAAAAAATGGAAAGAAAACATAATGGCAGAATATTTGTTCTGCAATCAAGTACAAAATTCTGGCTGTTTCAAACTCCTAAAGCTGGAGGATAAGGCAAAGAAGAGAATCGTGATACCTCTTGTTATAAAATATTAACTTGACAACAGAAAGGCAAAAAATGGTGGGGAAAAGCATTACTTTCTGCATGTTGGTATAAATGCATGCAGCACACACATCCAGTCTTGGTCATTATCCACTCCATGTGCTGGTCCCAGTCTAACAAAATAGCTTAATGTGAACTTAACTGTAAACATATAAATAGTCTAAATGACTTCAATGAGGTTATTCAGATGTTTAGAAAAAGACAAGTGCTTCAATACTTGTAACAAATCAGGGGCCAGAACACCAAAGGCAAGTCCACGCATAATTCTTGTAGATTAGCAGACTGCTTTGAAGCCAGTTTATGTGTGTCATTTAACTGAGCTAAACTAGAACTGTATATGTATCTGATCACATGGCAGAGCCAGAAAGTGGCAACTCAAGTCAATTATAATTGCTTAAATATGCTTTAAATCTTAACGGATGTGATATAAATGGAAGATATAAGAGGAAGAAAGATAAACCCTGAATGGAAAGGTAAGGGGGGTGGTGGTGTTTTTAGAGGAGTCTTCTCAACTCAAACGTAAGATCAAAGCAAGGGGACGTTAACACTGGCAGCAACTATGATTTTTTCATGCCCTCTAGATGTATTATATCGGAGTTATTTTGGCACTGTTATGTGAAACTATTAAATTCACACAATTTCTTTCTTTCTTTCAAGTTTAAAGGGAGTCCTTAAGGATCCTGCTTCTGTTTCAAGAGTCAAGAGACCTCTGGTTCCATGAAGGCTACAAGTACTTTTGTCTGTCATATTTGAACAGTTTTCCCATTTCCCTCATCAGGCTTCAGCCTATCACAGGTAAATGGGAAAATCTGAAAGCCCTCAGGGCTCCTAAGAATGTTAGTGCTGCGTACTGGTTCAGAAGTATTCTATAAAACAGCAATCTCTCAAGCCACAACTCACAAGGAATGCTTCGTTAAACTCGAAAGAGCAAGGAAACTGCCTCTGGAGCTGATGGACGCAGTCCAGCCACTGTAAAAACACCGGGCAGCGCTCATTTAGGTCATCCGAATTCTCACCATGGCCACAGCGATCTGCAAACTTGTGGCCAAAATCCAGCCACTCCGTCTCCACTAGCACCTGGAAACCCTGCAGAAATGAAAGCACAGATGAAAGTTGCTGTTTTTTTTGCTTCAACTACAGTTTTCTCAAAGAGCCCAAGACTCATGGGAATCACCTTATTATGATGCCCTCACTCAATCTGATTTCACTTTGGCATTAGCCACATTACTTATCTGCACTTCTCTACCCAATACCTCTGTGTTCTGAAATGGAGCAGAGTGAAATTAGGACAGACCAGAATTCCTACGATTACAGGAAAGGGAATAAAGCAAATTATTTAATCCTCACTGACAGACAAAAAAGATCCTGATATGAGACCTATCTTGGCAAGAGAGGAGTGAGTAGGAACATCAGCGTGCTCAAAACTCTCTGGATTACAGTAACTGAGATTAGGACAGGAGATTAGAGATTGAGATTAGTGCAGGTCTTTCAATCAAACAGTAAACAGTTCACCCATGACAGGACATCCACATTCAGACAGAGTGCTTGTCTGTGCATACACCAAAGATAGCACATTCACAAGTTTCATAAAGGTTGAATTGTGTGGTTTGTCCTGCAATCTAAAAGGCAACATTTCAAAATAACGTCTAGGTTAGCAGCTGAAGGGAAACTTAAGTCTTACATGACCTAAAACAGTAGGAAGGCCTTGCTTCAGAGGGGGGAGAAAATTCATAGAGGATGCTTATTAAGCCAATGGCTGTAATTTAGAGCAAAAATAATAGTTGATGGCTGAAAAAAAAAAGTGCAAAGCTGAAAACTCATCTTCCTAAATGTTTGTAATCCTTGTACAGAAAACTACAACGGCTTTGAGGAGCAGTTTACAAAGCACAGTGTTCAGACACGCTTCTGTTCTGGACAATAAATGCATCTTGCCAGTAGGTGGAATCTAGCCATCACATATCCCACTATGCTGGAAAGGGATGCAACAAAAATCAGACTGAAAATAAAACAAGAGAAATATAACTAAACGACAAAGAACACTGCAAAAGTGTAAGTAGGAAAATTATGCAACTGAGAAATGCAGAAGAGAGAATTGCTTTGTATCAATGAGAGGCTGAGACACTGCAATGCTGCTAGAAACACTCTGCATTGCATCGTCCCAAGCCAAACATGGGGAAGCACAAAGAGCAGGCAATTACAGCAAAGGGGGAAAATATAATCTCTCACATTATGGAATATTTAACCCACATGTACCTGTACCTGCAGACTATATTTGGTGAACTCCTTCCCTGCTTTTTCTAGTGGAAAAAGCTGAAAGCATTTATTCACAAACTTCCTGGCAAAATCACCCCATCTCAATGACTACTTCATGCCCCAAAGGATGGTTTACAAACCTCTGTGGTCCTGTAATACGGATCTAGCAGCAATTTGGCCAGTGCCACTATCTGCGGGGTACGGTCCCAGCCGTCTGAACAGTGCACCAAGACGGGTCGCTGGTCTCTGTCCACAGCGTGAACGACAAGCAGCGCAGATTTCAGCAGCACGGATAAGTGCTGCAGCCACTTGGTACTTTCCAGAGCTGATAACCAACTAGAGAAAACAAAGGAGGTGTTATTTTTTTTGTCTTCTAAAAGGCTTTACAACTTTGATCTTTGAATTTATCCAGTCAAAGAATAATCTAAACTGTGAATGTCATTCCTAAATGTATTCTTCATTTATTTCTTGTTCCCAAATTCACCAGGAACAAAGCCATGCAGTCTACCTGAAGAATGGCCAGTGTGGGATATGCCTGCTGCTAAGACTTGCAAGCAGGTCAGATAAAACTTCCACATGTGTTTCTGGGCCACCATTACTTTCAGCAGCTTCTTCTGCTGTTTCACTTCTTCTCAGATGAGGATTCAAATGATCCAGTAGTATCACTGCCTGATCTTGGGACTCTGCTATATGCCCAGGACAACCCCATTATGCAAGGAAACAGTGGGACCTGAGGTACATTTCCTATGTCCCAACTCTCTCTCAACTATTCCTGGAGCTATTTCCCACCTTGGCTTTCCAAGGTATGCAGTAGGTATCTTAAGGATCTCAGCTATATGAAGAATTTCATATTCAATTTAGGAAAGCTGGTCATTCTGGAACTCCTTAAAAAGCATGAAAGATCCTTAGTGACAAATTCAAAACAAAGCAGTAGAGGAAACAGGACTGTCTTCATGAAGATCCAACCTCAGAAGCTCCTTGGATACAGAAGCTAATTTTTGCCATTGGAAGGCTGTCTCCTGAAGGGACACTGTAAATATGTGAAGTTCATGGATTAACACTAGGATTTTTTGAAGTGGAGCCAGATTGTTAAAACTGAAGATCAGAAAAACAGGTATGACTAAGTGCTGGCACTTACATCCCCACCTGAAAGCAATAACATTCTCAAAACGTGTCAAAATTCAGGGCTGAATTATAATCTCATTATTTGCTCATTTTCTAAATTCACTTCTGGGATAATGAGCCAACAACTTTCTTTTGCTCAAACTCTGTGGGAAGGAGAAATACAGCTGGCATTATTACCCAGAAAAGGTTGTAAGGGAACAAACATTGGACTTCAGTTTATAAACAGCATCAAGAAACACAGAAAAATGTAAAGAAAGGCAAACCCACTGAATATCCACTTACTTTCCTGGATCTGGCATTTGTGTGCAGAGCAAACGCAGGGACTGAAAACTCTTCCGGATAGAGTGAATGTTTGCCATCCCCATGAACACTACTTCACAGTTTGGATAATACTCTGTAGGGCAATGTCAAGAAAAAGGAACGAAACTAAAAACTGCACTCGTTTAATTTCTGAAAGAAGCTTTTTCATAAAAACAAACCACTGTTGCTGTGGGCAGAGGGAATAAGATGTTTACCAATATTCTGTGGAGGAGAAACTAGCACTTGGACATCAGCAGGGATTCCAGACACTACAACACTGCACAGCAAAACAGGAAAGAACTAGCAAAGTGTTTGTAAGTGTTTGCACATTTATTTTCAATAGTTTACTTCGCATTACAAAGAACAGACCACAAACTTATGGGAACAGTGATACTGCTATGCTAGAGAGTATAGAATGTTTTTAAAAAGACTGAAAAACATAAAAAAGTGGAGAAACATAAACAATATTCAACTGATAATTTGTGCACATTTTTAAATTTGATAAACCAAATTATATTTTCGTGTTCCTTTTCCTAATCACTCAGAAAGGCTGAAAGATTATACGAATTTATCCTGAATTACTCTGTGAGAAGGGAGGAGCAACACAGCAGTAAGAAATACAGAGAATGTGGACTGAAATACTGCGTTTTTCTTCAGTTTGCTATGTTAAACACGCAAGCAACTCAGCTCTACTCAGGAGGCAGTTTCAGGGTGGAAAGGGTCCACTGGTCAAAAGGAGCATCCATCAAGATGCAGAATTAGTTAAGTAATTAGATGACCATTTCTAGGTTTATCTTGCCTCCGTGATGATGTTTCTATCTGCAAAAAAAATGATGACATGATAGCTAAAATGACCTTTTCTGTGACAGAAATGTCAGGATGTGGAATATGGCATATTGATTGCTTGCAAAAGAAAAGTTGAGACTCACTTAAAATAGCATAATTTATATGATTTGAATTCTTAATTGTCATCCAACCCAATAAATTCTTCCCAAATCAGAACATCCTTTTGGTGAGGGACTGTGTAACTGCAGTCAAAAGTGACTGACAGTAATGCAGCATTCAAGCACTTTTTTGTCTTTTGAAAACTTGGCAATACCTGTAGAAAGTGTATCAGCAAAAAGGAAGCACTTAATGCAAATCAAATTTATTGAAGGTGACACTTAAGCTCTTTGGAAATTTCTTTACAAAGAATTCAAGAATCGATATATAGCAGGAAAATTAAACATCTTGGGCAATCTGCTCTTCTGTTCTGAAATTTTAGTGTGATGATGAGTTATTTTATAGTTTTGAGATATTGAATAAAAAATTCATCTCTCTCCTTATGGTGGCTATATATCAATGTGTAGCTATTACAGCAAAGAACAAAATAGGGAAATATGCTTGAAATAGCTTTTTGTTATCTTAATTTTCCTTTCTGGTATTTTTCTCTACACTCTCCAGCAGGGAATTTTAACAGGATGTATTCCTATCCAACAGTGACCAGAGTATAATATCTTGTTTAGAATGTAAAGAATTTGTAAATGCCAAAGAATACAGAAAGTGATGATTGTGAATGTCTCACAAATGCATGATGAATCAGGGTTTCCATTGCTTGGGTTATGCTACACATGCTGAAAAATGTTGCCTTTTCAAAAAAATTGCTGAAAGGTTGTGTTCTTCACAACCATTCTGGAATATTATTAGCCTCTACAGTTAGTAGATTTTTGTTTCAGTTTTTTAGATGACAGACTGCACAATTTAGATGACAGACCGGACAATTTTGTCTCATTGCAATTTATATACTGAACTTACTGAGGAAAAACTCATCAACATATTCCACACAGTTCAACATATATTGAACACTGTTACCAGATGATTTTATGTTCTGAAAAATAAGAGACTTAATTAACAACTATGTCTGTCCTTTGGAAGAGATTATGTGATAACAACCCAAAACTTTCAGTCAGATGAATGGTACTTGCACCCATGCAGTCTTTTAAACACACAGCACTGAAGTATATCACTGTGATTACTGTTGAGCAAATCCTTTTGATCAAGTTCATATAATACTAAGAGCACCACTGCTCACCTGGGCACTCACAGCCTCCACCTTTGGCTCTGTTAGCCACAGCTGCTGCATAGGACCGTGCATCCAAGATCAAAAGCTTCTGAGGCTGAATTGCCAAACTCTCTGCTCCTGAAGCATTAGAGATTGAGGAATCTGTGGAAAAGAGGCAGTCACAGAATAACTAAAGGGGTATTCTGACATCATTTACAACAGCAGTTCACTCAAGCTCAACAATCTATACGCGTTAGGCATAGGAAAATCAGGGAATGCCTGAATAAATACAACGGATTTAATGTGTTGCAGTACATACAGGAGACTAAGCTCTTACAGAAAGCTCTAGTTGTTCAGAAATGGAATGGTGACAAACTTACCAAATTCCACATCAGAGAGATCCCCTCCATTGGAGAAATCTCTGGAACAATTTCCATTCATTATCTTATTACTGTTGGACCTTGAATCCGAGGCACAGGCTTTGGCCACAGACTGGACAAGGTGTTCATCGTCCGCATTCCTCCAGCCCCACCAGCTGACCTCCGGCTGGCCACAGCGGGAAATAACCGCACCGTTACTCTGGTGCCTGGAAAAAAGAAAGGAATAAAAAGAGCAGTGATGCCTCTGTGGCAGAATGGGGATGAAAAACCCAGAGGGCATTAGAAACTAATTGTTCCCTCCAGCATTTTAATTCCTGCCAGGGATCTCTGCACGTTTCAGCAGCGATCCCCAAACTGTTGATTCAGAGGCAACTTAGTCACCGTGTTTCCCTTCGATTGTGGCTACAGGAAATTGAAAATCAATAGTCAAAGAGGAGAGAACGAAGCATTTTCTCCATCAATACTGTTGCCCATTGACCAGTAAACACTGGGAACATTTTAAAACACCAGACAGTCTTTCAAGGGGTAGTTGATCATTCCCTGGCTATTTTAGGCCTCCTGCTGTTATTTTACAAACCATGTATGAAAGCTCAGCTTAGCTCATGCTAATTTAAAAGCCAGAAGCAATCGAATAACCCCAGATTTACTTTCTGAAGAGCTTACTGAATCAAAACATATCAGTAATGGAATCTGTGAAGGAAGTTCTGGCTTTGGTAGGAAATTCTTGCAGAATTTGGCACATTTTCAGTCCAGTGATGTCTAAGGTTAACTGAAATGCCACTTATGCACAACGAGGCATCCTCTCCCAGACATCATCTGTGAATCACAGGCCATCCTGGACCACTTTTCAGACTCGGGGTTCTCATAACTAGAAATGCTAGTGTATGCTAGCAGTAGTGTATGCTAGGTGTTACTTCACTAGCTAAAAGGAAACTGGCCAATTTCTCAGCATGTTAAATATTGGCAGTTTTACTCATTCTGAGGCTTGCTATTGGTGTCTGTCAAAAAGGAGCTGTCTTACAGCCTGCTCAGTACAAAGAATTTGCTCAGAAATGATCTGAAAACCTAAACAGGAGAGTATAAAGCAGCCCAGGAAGGTTCCCCCCACCTAAATTTCTTAGTTCTGCCTTCTCTTTTGCATTTTCTTTCCCTCAGGAGGTTCCTTCACGTGCAGGTCTTCTCCATCGCTCTTACTGACATGAAGTGAGCAGCGTTCCCTTTGCTGCCTCTCAAATACTGATCATATCACAGCAAAATTTTGATATAGGAAAAGAAAATAATGCTTATTCTAAGATGTGATATACATCATAAACACTCTAGATATCAATAAAACTTCAGAGGGTTAAAAAATAGAGAGATAAGCTTATCAATAAAAGATGGGTCACTGAGATAACTTGCAAATGACCTAACTTGAACATAACTACTTTATTTGGAGGAATGACATTAAGATTAAAAAAAAACCCTCTTCTGAAGAGTTAGCACAATTTTTTAAAATTTAACCTAACTTTTTTTGTTCTACTAAAGAATAGATTTGAAGCATGTAGGTTACTGGAGCACTGTAAACACACTCTTACAAGCAGATTAAGAAACACACCCCTGTAATTTATATTAAAAAAGAGTACTGAAATTACAGTGCCACTGTAATTTCCACTTGCTACCTCCATGCAGGCACACTGCAGTGCTGCCAAGGGAAGATGTGATTCCACATTCGCTAAGGTGTTTGTGTCTGACATTGACAAGGGTCACACATTCTTCTTGACTTTCACTAACAGCACCTCGTACTCACGGGCCCTCAGCCACAGTCTTGAGACTTATCTTGGGCCACATGACAAGTCATTGGTGTTGAGGAATGGAAAAACTCCAAATTCTGCTTGTCAGTCCCTTGTCCCATCTGCAATATACTACTACTTATCTCTATGTTTGTTCCTCCTTGATGTTAAACAACCTACACAGCAGCTATACATCCTATGCAAAGGTGCCCTTAGGCAGCACCATTCTTGTCTGGGAATACCACTGACATCCACAATCTGCAGGTTTATAAAATTATCTCACTGCCAATTACTGTTCCCATGTGTTAAGATGTAGCAAAGGCAGACAGGTTGGGGGTGTTTCTGAAGCCCACCCCAACCCATAAATCTTAACCTTTCCCTCTCACCACCCTAACAAAGGGTCAGAAAGGTGTCACAGACCATTCTTCATTTGTCACCAGAGCTGTCCACCTGCCAGGTGCTCGGCAGAACTCCCCCCACAGTGTCCCTAAGGGAGCACAGCTGGGATGGCAGTGGCTGCCTCATGCTCTTCATTCAAAAAATGACACCAGCAATCCAGTAAAGACTCCTTGTTGTAAAGACTTAAAATATGTGGTGATACCTGTATTTTAAGTGATTTTCATTTTTTTTTGCAATTGCTTCAAATCAAATTCCTTTCCTAAAAGGCAGCAACTAACACTGTGCACTAACAGACCTGAAGAAAAAGCGATCAGAGTGACACAGATGCCAGCCAGCCCCATGCAAAGGAAAATGGATTCCTATTGAAATGAATAACCTTCCAGAGACAACTCTAACAATGTCAAATTAATTCAGCAGAAAGCGTATGCCAATTGCTACAATGGCACCTAGTCCCCTGGTGTCCTTCCACAAACCACAAAAGAAAATGCATCATCACTGTGGACGTATGAAAGTTACCCTGAGCATTAGAGATAAGCTCATTTACTTTCCCGTATGTCCTTCCCTATTCCGCTACTACCCACCTGCAAAATCATTTCTAGAGCCCTAAAAAGTCATATTTTCATCTCTGGGTTCTTGCCTCCTATTTATATCATGAATAACAACCATTAGGCCAAACATTGAGTGCCCTGATAGCTGTGAAGTCCTAATATTCCTAAGCCTGAACAAATCTGTGATGCTGAGACTTATCAGCAGGATTTATGGTAACATTGGAGGCCTGCCGAATCCTACTCATTCCAGCTGAACAGTCCACAGGAACAAAATAGGAAATTATTTAAGTATGATACTTTAGCCTTTAGGGATAGATGTGAGGGTAAGACAGTGTCGTTCCCATTTCAGTTACTTAAAGGTCCCTCTGCAAATTTCCTAACGCTCCAAAGACAGAGCAACTTAGAGTCTCCTTACAGAAAGCAGGTAGTAAATCACTCACTAAACAACTGGAGAGCCCCTTATAAAGCACTGTGTGCTATACGCTACACCTCTGCAAATGCTTCATCTTCCCTGTGCTCAAGCGACCTCTTGAGCACACCTATAAATCCACGGAGTCCCTAAAAATGACAACAGGGAGCACCAAGGCGGCCTTGCAGAGCGCAGTGCGCGGCATCCCGTTACCGCTAGCAGCCTCGGGAGTCCTCGCGGCAGCTCCCCATCGCTCGGCACGCTGCGAATCCCTGTTCACCTCTGCCTCCCGCGCTGGCACACACGCTGCCTGCCTGCGTAACGACCTTCAACGTGCTGCGAGGCAAAGAGGCATCATCCACCCTGTTCATTTCCGAGCAGGTTCTCGTGACTTCAGCACGATGGTTGCGTAACGTCCACGAAACCCTCTAAAGAGTCCTTCTTAGAGCCCCCAAAGGCTTCTCCTATTATTGATTTACTGGGAGCAAAACAAATAAAGCATCAAAAGGCCACTTTTCTCTGCCTAAGTATGTGCCTAATACCTTACTTTTCATATCTCTGCCTAAATACCTCCCTTTTCGAAAATGGTAAAGCCTGGGGAAAGCGGCAGACGCTGGGTCCTTTCGGGTCCTTTCACAGAAAAGGAGCAATGCTTGGCAATCCAGTCCCAGCTGAGTATTTCTGGACTTTGGCACTAAATTCAGCCTGTTCATCTCGGCAGCCTGTGCAACAGTGTCACAGCCTTTGAATGCTTTACCGGAACGGACAATGGGTTGTTTGTAGCCGTGTGTCCTTCTCTCTGGCCTCTCTCTGTCCCAGTTTCAAAGAAGTTTCTGAGATAAGTTATTGGAAGGATATGAAAAAATCATTATTATGTGTTTTTTTTTCCTCCCAAAGAAAAGCAAAGAAAGCAGATACTGTGATCAGTAAATAACAGAATCAACAATTCTCAAATCATCTTCAACAGATAAAAAAATGTCCGGGGAGTTTACTCCTCCAAATGTAAGGGAAAAAAAAAAGTTAATCTGTTTATATATCTATATTTATATATCAAAACTATACTCCATGGATCATCCAACCCCATGGATCATCAACCACTAGCTGATTTGGATTCTGTTAGAGTGCAGAATGAAGGTGTTACTAATTGTCAAGGTGAAAAAAATATCACCAACTAGAAACTTTTCTCCCAGTGGTTCTAAGATTATAAGCGCCTAAAAGGCACAGAGTGGCCTGAAATGCAGTGTTTGAAGTTGGACATCGAAAGGGATACATAACCATACGTAACCATACGTAAAATATGTTTTAATAGATATAAAAATGCTGTTTCATGGCCTCTTCACAACTTCTGCATACTTGCTCCTCGGACCTAGGCTGCAGTGAAATTGTGTCAACTTTACTGACCTGCGAAGCTCGGGCTGCCGCTCAGAGGAACAGCTCTTCAGCAACCCTCTGCGTAGAAGCAATGGGTGACTGGTCAGACTTCATGGAATTATCAGTATTAATTATCTTTCTAAACCTTCACTCATTTAAGTTTTTTAAAGAGATTTTATACATTTTGGAAAAGGATAAGTAACACCAGAAGAGTGGCCAAGGCAGCAAATGACAGGTCCCAGAATTTTTTTGGGGAAAAAAAGAGTTTAAAGTATTTCTTGCTAAAGAAGCTGCCAAAAAATAAGGTATCAGAAAAGGAATTTTATCATGAAGAGTAGTTACACTCAGCATAAAGAAAGACTGTCTGATTAAAGCAATCTGCTTCAAATATGTAGATGTAGCTAACATGCACATAGTTCTGTAGTTTGTGTATGATGTTTCCCTTAAATCTCCTTAAGATCTGGCCATGTATATCTGCTGTATGGTTTGAATATTAGTTTCTCTGACCTTCTCTATTGTGTTATTCTTTTTCCAAATGTCCCAGTCAGAACTAGAGAAAAACTACAGGCGTATTTAGTAACGGATCTTACCTATCATTCCTTCAGTTATTTTTATTTCTTGTTTTTACATTTTTTTTTCATTTTTGCCTTTTTTTTTTTAATTTTAATGTGCTTAATTGAGAGGAACGCCCAAGGGATGAGTTGCAGGAGATGCAAAGCTGAGTGCTCTCACAACATCTGCTTGGAATTAAGACCTACAGATCATTATTCACACTTGCAGGGAACATGTAATAGGTCTATCTTACTTTATATATGTCTTGACAAGAGCCAGTATAGGCAGCTGTTTCACATTCTTTGAAAGGGTATAAAACAATACCAACAAAATAGACTGCATACCAGAGGACCTTTTTCATTCATATTGGTATGCTTAGCCCCATTGGACTACCAATGTGACAGAAAAATTTGGAGAATTTTTACAAGATTTACTTAATTTCCTGACCCATCACATCATCACCAGGCAGTTTTTATGGTAGTTACAGAAATCCAGGACAGGACTGCTGTATCTTCAACTACCTCCCTGACAAGAACTTTTAGAGATAAGGAAAATGCCAAACAGAAGCAGAGAGCAACAGATCACTCTCTGTTTAACAGTTAAATGCTCTTCCTCACATGAAGCAGAACATCTACACATGAGAGTTGCAAACAAAGCAGAAAAGACCCCTGACTATCAGGCCTAACACGTTATGGTTGACTGTCAGTTAAACACAGATCTGAACTCGGTTTCTAATGAGCTCCTCTTTCATCCCCATTCAACAACTAAACTGCCAGGGTGGCTGGTATTTTGTTGCAGGGTCTTGTTCTCCCGATGGGCCACACTGCGGCTGGGAGGTCTGAACAGCCCCAGGCAGAATCCCACAGTGCGTGAGCAGCAGGAAACCCAATGCACTCCCGCAGGCAGCACAGCGAGGACTGTGCCGGGTTTGCTGCCTCCTTCCAGCGTAGATCTTCAGCTCCATCCTGGCAGGTCCTCGGCCTCCATGCAACATCCCTCTGCAGCATGGTATAAATGCATGAGCATAGCAAGATGCAAGGTGGACATCTCAATACTTTCAATACATTGTAGAAATATTAATTTGAAGCATCATCATCGCTTTTGTTAAAATTCTTCAGGCTAAGGAGGAAACATCTGGACCCAGAGGAAAGCACCTAAGCAAACTTCATTACAAGCCGAGAATCCCATTTCCAGCATATTTCAGCTTTATTTGCAAGAACACCCCATGTACAGCCTGTGAAAGCTGTTCCTCACCTGTACACAACAGCAGGGATACGTTTCCAGGAGCGAAAGCTGGCCACGCTCTCTAGCTCTTTATCCGTGATCCAGGCAGGAACTATGATTTCTTGGGGGTAGCTACCACAGAGCCTGTGAAAAAAGGGTTGAACATAAGAAATAAAGAACAGCTAGAAGCTTCCCAGACAACAACAGAAAGTGTATAAGCAACCTGACCAATGTTCATCTCAGCAAACTATACTGTTTTATTAATTCCTGATTCATTGGATGTTAATAAGTAGGTCTCTCAGGAGACATTAAAAAGAACTATGAACTGTTTAGGTGTCTAAATGCACTTCAGAATTTCAAGATTCAAGTTGGTGTTTCCTCCAGAAACATGGACATTGCTGATCTTGAATTCCAGCAGCTGAAAGAAATGGGACTATAGACAAGAAATTCCTCATCTCTTAATGCTAAAAAATTCCTCACTCAATTTCCTGGGTCACAAAAGCCAGAAATTGACCCATTCTGGGCTATGCTTTCAAGAGAGGAAACATCCCCAGGGTAATGAACCCCTGGTAGGAATGTGAGTGTGCTGCCTTATGCATGACTGGCTAACCCGCACTTGCCTCTGCTAGATGCATCTCCTACTCTGTAATTTTAACTAAGGAAGGAACGACTGCCCAAGAATGCAGAGGGCCTGCAGGAATAGCTGGGATAGCGCAAGCACTCGGGAGGGACTGCAACATACTGCTGAATCATAAACTTCATCCCCCGTCCAAACAGGCAATAAAAAGAAAAGAATTATCCTCCTGGACAGATAAGCACAATCTCACATATGGACTGAATGTCATAATCCTGAGGCAACACCAAATACTTCATACTTCAGCAATTGTCCAAGGGAACCGTTAAGATTAGAACACAAAGTCAAAGGTTAGAATTCTAACAGAACTGTATGTTGAAATAATTAAATGTTCTCCATTTTGGCCGTCCTTCCAAATTAAGGAAAAAAAAAAGATCTTTGAACAAAACACTAGAAATGGGAAACAACAAAATCAACATTGTGTGCTGCCACTTCCCACTCCTGGCTTGTGGACTGCAACACGTGTTACAACTCCTTCAAATGTAAATGCACTCACTAATAGGAGAAAGTCTTTAAAACACAAAATGATACCTGCTACACCTCTGAGACAGTTTTTTCCTGCAGTGAGGTTACATGAAGCACTTAAAAAAAAGATGTATTTACTGCATAAGGAAGACAGACTTAATCATATGACTGTCTACTCTATTCAGAAAATATGTAGGTTGTCTTGAAAAAAAAAAAAAACACCAAAAATTCCCACTCTTTTCTCAAGTGCTAGCAACAAAAAGGAAAAAAGTGTCATCCTGTTTCTGCATGACAAGTAAAGTTTTCTTCATTTTTCTTGAGTATTAAATCCAGAAGGAGTAGCTGTGTTTTCTTTGCTCAATTTGAGCACTAGACACTCTCCTTGCCATGATACCAGCTGTCAGCTGAAAGTCATTATCGTGCAAAGACAATGGAAGGAAACAAGTTTCATTACGAAGTTTAACTGCCGCTTCTGCAGTGCACGGGATGAGGGGTCAGGCACACACAGTGTCCTCCCGCCGCGGGATGGAGGGACACCGACATCTGCTTCAGCAGAAAAAGGAGAGGTCGTTGGCTCAAGCAAGAAAGAGTTTTCCCTATCACATTCTCTGGGTCTACAAGATTGACCCTTCCAAACCAAAAATCTTTAACAACTCCTTCTTCTTAGTTAGAGGGGAAGACATGTTAAATAAAAAGTTATTTAACGTTCAATGTGACCTCACTGTGGGCTCACTTAAGGCTTTGTCTTCTTGCATTAGCATACTTACTCTCTAGGAAGTTGAGCAGCAGGCACATTAAATTCTGCTATTTCTAAGTCTATGAAATTTTTAATAGATAATATAATATTAAATACTACCTTAAAAGCACATTTATTCTATTAAACAGCAAAAAAATCATAACTCCAACTGTCCCAGAGTTAAGGACTCCAGAACATAAAAAAATTCCAGTAATCTCCTGTTGGACAATTGGTATTATGAGATGACTTTGGGCTATGAATCAGCAGCCTCTATGACTTACTTGTATTTCTCATTGATGTTGGAAATCCTCCAGGCATTGTTCATATCAAAACCCATCCGTTCAACTTCATTTTTAAACCTCGAAGTTACATGTTCTCCTGGGTATCAAAGGCAGAGAGAGGAAATAAATGTGAGAAACATAGTAAGATTCCTACCTTTCAAAACAGTTGGAAAAAGGCAATGCTGTATTTGTATATACTAAAAACTGAAAAGGAAAAGGAACTGTCCAAAAAGAAAGTCGTTTACGTTTCACAGCCCTGGGCTGAAAAACAGTGTCAAGCAAGAGTGCCACAGTTTATGCTGGCATCTCTCACCCATCAGCTCTTCAGAAACAGCAAAATCCATACAGGACGTTTTCTCTGATATGACTAGTCGCTGTAAATTCCTATAAAAATACTATAATCCTGTAGACCAGAACCAAGCATACTGGCAAAAGCAGAAGGTATTTATAGCCACTTGCAATTTCAGTGAGAAAATGCTGGTAGTTTTTCTTTTCCAAAGTTAAGAATATTGTATGTGGATATGAAATTCTAGTCCGACTGATACGTGAAAGGGTAAAATATAGGACGTGGCCTGGAATTTAGGCAATCTCAGTTTCATATGCAACTCAGCCACAGGCATCCTGTGTGACTGCAGGCAAACCCCATAATTTAACCTACATCTCACTTTTCCATCTCTCAATTGAAGACTGTTCTTCCATGACTCATAGCGGAGACATAAAGACAAAATGCATCAGTCGCAAAGTCCTCACAAATTCCTGGAATAATATATTAATGAAACCTGAACAAGTTCCATTTCTTTTCTGGACACGGTTTAAAAAGCATCTAAATGCAGTTGAAAAAAATACACAATGTCAGTAAAGAAAAATTATTCCGATAGACAGAAAATGCAGAGAATTACAAGGTACTCAAAGGGCAGAACATGATACCTTGTAGAAAATTTCCAGATTCACAAAGCCAGTAAGCCTAATAAATCCAATGAATGTTTGAGCATCACTAAATAAAACAAATCTGGAAGTCTATTCATTGCTTGTCACTTTAAATTACTGTCTCAGTATATCATGAGACAGAACATCCATCAACAGGAGAAAAATCTATTGAAAAATTAATGCTTTAAGTATCACACATTTATATCATGTATTTCGGAAAATCTTTAAAGTCATTAAGTATACGAGCTATATAAAATATAGACACAGATCTCTGGAAAATGTTGATGTACCCGTGAAACCTAAATTTTTATGCAATCTTACTGAAGATTTGCAGATAAATATGGAAAACCAGGTAAATTAAGAGTAAAGACAGCAGCCTAATTGCAGGAATTGATTAACTCTGAAGGAGAAGAGCTATGATGTTACTCATCCTCACGTGTCAGATCACACATTGAACACGACACTGCAAATCTAGACACGCTTACAGTATGGGCAATCTGCAATGATCTGCAAAAGGGAACGGTAACAAGATTATTTTTCTTATTCTGTTTGAAAGGTGAAATACGAGGACACCATTTTGTGCAAGTGAAGAATATTCACTCTTCAAGATACATGGTAATAAATAGTTTGGACCTGACTGTCCATCATGACCTACTGCCTACACATCATGCAACTGCTACAAAAGTAGCATAAAAATGAAATTGCTGTGGCTCCCAGGTTGTGCTGCCCCTGCAGAAGGCTCCTCTCTGGATCACAGACGTGCTGTAGCTCTTACCTTCCCTATCACCAGATCAATTAGATTGAAGCTTGCCAACTATTTCCTGCTTCTCAAATGGACTCTTATACCCTGCATGACCTTGGATTTATTATCTTCCAGCCACCTACTCATCACATACACCAGCTTCCTGCTTTATGAAAGGTGGATGTTATTGCATACTCCCATACCACACCTGACCTTTTGTCAAGTGCAGAGATGAAACGGTGACAATGATACATTTCAGCAACCTCTGTCATGTTGCTCCTCAGCAATAAATTTTCATTTGTTTTAACTTCTTTTTGGAACAGCAGTATACAGCATGTTCTTTCAGCACGGGGGATCAGCTTCATTATCAGCTGCTGTGAGCAAGCAGTGATTTAAACGTGCGACGCATGACCAAGGGCTGTTCTGGATAACAAGTGAGAATATCAGAAATAGCCCCAGTCCCCAATGCTGCTTATGTGTTTTTAGGAAGCTATATGGAGCTACAGTTATTTCTAACGGTGGAGAACCCAGCAGGAAAATGAAACCTGCCAGATTTTGCTAATTTTCTGCTACTCTCTGTGTTGTGAAATCACAGATTCCCCACTATCTAAGATAAAAAAAACAAACATAGCTTCAACATTTTGTCCTTTCCTCCTGAAATGCTGGCTTTTTAAGAAGGGTTTTGAATCAAGCTGGATAAACTAGATTTTCTTCAGTATCACAAACCAACTCCCAGAAACAGAAGAAAAAACAAGCTATATTTTATGTGGACTTGAACCTTCGAACTATGAAAGTTGATCTTGTGAGCCATAACTCAAATCATCCAACATATGCACTGATAAGATTTAGGGTTTTTTTCCCACAGGAAGTGTTATTTAGATAGATTTTGAAGAAATGTAGTTATTTTATGCCTACATATCAAATAGCAGATTGCTTTCATTTCAAGAAATAAATTATAATGCCTTGGATTAATTTCTTCAATTACATTTCCATGGATTTATTTTAACTCTGGGATATCTGTACAATAGTATCTACCACCAGAAATATGCAAGCCACAGGGGAGAAAACATTAATAATTCAAGACACAGATTATTTGATAGATACATCAAATGAGAAATAAATACTGATGTATAAAAGCCAATCAAGACCTGAATTCTGCATCACACCCCAAACTGATGTTTGACTGCAGCCTCTTAAGCTGGGAAGAGAAAAGAGCCACATTGGTGAATACTTTACTGTTTTTCTCTTTTCGTTTCAGGAGAATTCTGTATTTCAGTAACAAACAAGCAGTTCCCAGTGAAAGAATGTCTGATCATACCCAAAATGTTGCCACATACCTGGCCGACACAAATCCCCATGCTGTTCTTTTTCACTGGCATATACCTCCATACACCAAGCGTGGTAGGCAAAGGAGAACAGGTCTTCTATCTTGGAAGGGGGCCGGATAACATTGTTCAGTCGCTTAAGCCAATCTTGACACTGCTCAAAAGTGGAGAACTGACACCTGTCCCCAAACCAAGCATTTCGCTATTAATTTAGAGTCAAAGATAACGGACTGTAAGATCTAACAAGAGGATCTAGGAAAACTTCTGTGAAAGGTAAAGATGATAATGAACATCTTGTGGAAAATTTAGTTTCGTCTCTTGGTACGTTTTAAAGGGTAGTAAAAATAATAATAAAAATACACACATATATAAAATCAAATTAAACTGCAAGCATGAGAACAGTGTTCTGGGATTGTGAATAAATCAGTATGCCTTACTAGTCACGAATGAGTAAGATGTTTCTGCACACGTTTAAAATCAAGGACAATCTCTCTGACTTCAGGATGCAAATTTCACACAATCAAACCCAGGAAATGTGTTACAGCATCTTGCAGAACAGCAGTCTCAGATGGCAACTAAATCTCAAAAACATCACATACATTTTACTAATGAATATTCCTGAAAGCAAGAATGCAGTTTCTGCTCAGACAGAGGAGATATGCAGTGTGAATTCACTTATTTTAGTACCTGAAATTTTACCTTATTGCCCTACCTCATATAGCTCAGTTGTTCTTCCCTGGCCTTGAGAGCAAGCAGAAGCAAATCTTTTGGATCTGAGCTTTGCCCAATGTTATAGACTAACAGCAAACCACCAGGAGCACTCCCTACCGAGGAGAAGGCAGCCTTGAAAGCTATCTATAGGAAAACTACATTAGCTTTTCAAAGGGGATTCTGGGGCCCTCTAGAACAAAGGGGAGGAAAAAAGATTAGCAATTTATTTTCCTCTGGCAGATTTCCTGATGCTTTTATAGTTTTAAGACATGCACCAACTATTTGCATTCACTTCAGGCTATCTTCTACTGCATTAGCAATAGCATCTGTGTTCATGAAGTGCAGGACTCCTCACTCCCACCTGTAAATATCTAAAAGTCATTCAGTGGAAGGAAAATACATGTCTAACGCTGTGCTAAGAACCACATCTAAAGTGTCTGGGAGGAACTGCTGCCCGGAGGTGTTTTTCTCCTTGAGTATAAAGAGAGTCTAACTTAAACCGGGTAATTATCTTTTACGTGGCTACGATTACATAAGATGTAGCTCACCCTAAAAAGTGTGGTTTCTTTCTAAGTACTGGAGTTTCTGCAAAAACTTGCAAGCTTTTTCTGAAGTTGGTATTTTGATATTTCTAATACTAGCTCCGCTAGAGTAGTTATTCAAGATACAAATTATTTTACCCGTGCAAAACAATCTAAGCATGTTTTAAACTTGGCATTCTGGCCCCACACTTCCAGGGATCAGTGGCAGCAAGTACTGATTGCCAGAGTTTCGATTTTGAAGGGAATTTTGTAAGGGCAAGGCTATATACAAATAATTTGTATTCATTCTATGATTGAAGTAACAAATTAATGTAGACATTAAGGTTGAATTCTCAAATGTCAAGAGCTACAAGTTAAGAGGAAGTTCAATATTTAATTCAAGTTGAATGAAATATTATTTCCAAAGTAAAAATCAGTCCTCATCAAAATACAGCATTTGAGGAAGCAGCTGGCCTGTTAAACATTCGGAGAACTCGGCTACGGCTGCAGCTCATTTCATTACACAAAAGGTACTGCCAGCAAACATTTCATCAAAAAGAAATGTTCCCTTCTTGTTAATTAAAATTTATAGATCAACATTAATTTCTCTGCTGGAGACCCTTAAACACACTGACATGTAGGAAATGGCTTTTACAAATTCATGCTCCCTTTTACTTGATGATGTCTGCTTTGCTGGCATTTTTTTTTTTCAGTAAGCTTCCTACATCTCAAGGACACTCTCCAGCTGATGCTACCCCAACCAAAAGTCCCATGTAGAACTGCGCATCTCCTATCACAGCTACCTCACCTCCAAATTTCAACTGAAGTTTTTTGCCCAAGAACCTGCATATTTCTCTAGTTTTGTATCTTGTAACTGACCACAGATTGTAAGGCAGGGAAAATTCAGTGAAATTAAAATTAATTTCCAAATAAATTAAGAACTTCTGTTTTGGGTTGGACTTTCTGCTACATTATATAACAAGCAACGGTGCAGACTGTATTACTCCCATTTCCTTCACTAAAATGTCCAGCTACCTACACAAAAAGGACAGGAGAAGATTTTGGAGGGAAAGTGCACAAAGGAAGGAAAAACATCCCCGCAGAACATCCCAGATGCCGGCAGCATGGGGAAAGCAAAGTTACGCTGCATTCAGTGTGTGGCACAGACATACCTTATAACTTTGCAGTCTTTGCAAGTCAAATGGAGTTGAAATATATCACGACACTCAACACTTTCTATAAGCTGCAATGGAACCTGCAATTAAAAAGATTATAGAATTTTATTTCAAGGCATTAACACTGTAATTCCTTGGCATACCTGACAAGGATTTATTGCAGGGCTACGTGCAGAGAGAGAAGACAGAGAGAAACCAGGAAAATTCTAGCATCTACTTCAACAGCTCTGAAGTGTATGGTACTACATATCAGTCAAGTTCCTAGTCCAGTTCCAAACAGTCTCTGAACCTTCAGGGATCAGAGGAAAGCAGCTGAGACCACATGTTGAATCAGGGAGAAGAGCATTTCAGTTCTGTACATCAAGCAGCAGAAACCCACAAGCTCCTCTCTCAAGGAAGCACCGATCCTTCTCTATTACAGGTCCCACTCTAGGGAGGTAGCATACATCATTTTAGTTACTGGTGTCAAAAACGAAATGTCAAGCAAGATTTCTCTTTACAAGCTGTCTCTTTATAGGTGCTTTTTACACAGATATAAAAAAAAATAATGATTCCATATTTCCTCTTTAGGAGAAAATCACTGGGCCTGTGTAGATCAAGACTTCTGATCAAAACAGCCATATTTACTGTAATAACACTGAATCTGGATATTGTGATAGTTTTGTTCAGCAGATTCAAAGACTCTTAACAGATCTGAGACTGGGGAATTCTCTGTACCTTGTTCCACAGAGGACAGCCTCACATAACGGGTTAACAGTCCTACTGACTCACAAGGCTTCTATAGGGCAAGTTAAATACCTTTCCCTGACAAAAAAAACCTGAGAATCTAGAAATTTTCCCTTTTTTTTCATCCAAATGCTCCTTCTCTGTCAAAACTCTTTTATTTTAAGCCTTCTTTTATTGTATTCCTCCCAATATCCCCCTTCATTTCATCAGCAGTTTTTCACCATACTCCCTACTCCTAGCAGCTTTGTTCTGTCTCCTGCTCCTATCTGCACACTGATGATATACAAGCTCTACCTCTGCTTTCAAGAGAAACTCCTGCATCATTTTTCATTTCAAAGTCACTTTCTTTCAAAGTCATTCTTTGTCCTATTCCCTTCCAATTTGTCCCCTGCTCAGGAGCCATTCTTTTCCCTCTTGACAATCTAAATGTAACTATTTCCTTACAATCTGCTGTTTCTTTCTTTAGGGAACCTTCATATCAGTCTTTTTTTTATTATTATTTTTTCCAGTTATAAAAATCTATCCTCTAATCCTCTTCCATTTCCTTCTTTTCAATCTCCTCCTGCTCATTAGTCTTCTCCCAGTAAAACTACGCAAAATTATCTGAATTTCTCTTCAATTATCTTCATTCCCCTATTTCTTACCCCCATAAAACCTTGTTTTCATGGCTGTATTTTTCAGGCTGAAGCACACAGCAGGTCAGATATACTCAGTGCAGTGAATTTGCTCATTCAAGAGCCATCAGGTCTATTTGCTGGCACTTCACCATACTGTGATGCCTATTTAAATAACGCAGCTGAGAAGCAATCATTTGGGGCTTTATATAAACAAATGTGTATTAGCAATGGCCAGGCCTACGGAGAACGCTGCGGCATCCTGCTCTTGCTATACCTGTCTCTCAACTGTCTCTTCCTAGGTTATCTCATTTTAAACACTAGCAACATTTTACAACTCTTCTTTTAAATTAGTATTATTAAATAGAATTGACTGTGCTCTAAAAGCAGTACAAGATATAATTAGAAACATAAACCTCTGTATGTCTCTTAGAAAAAAAGCCATGTCTCCGCTGCTGAAACCATCCATCCCATGGCTCAGTCGTTGGCTGCAGGTCAAGTGCTGTGCAGGACACCACGTCCCTGTTGCTATAAGCCAGACCCTTCCACAGCAAATATGCTACACGCTCTCCCGTGTATACAATTTAGCCTGAGTCTCTCCTAAACACTATGTGGCATCCAGTGGCTTTGGGGCTGTAATTAGTAGTTTTTTGTGTTTTTCTTAGTATGGAGCCTGAAAAAAATGCCAGGTTTATGTTACAGAATGGCTATTTTTAACAGCATGAGGTCAAGGGTATGTGTGGCACAACTGAAGCATGGTAAAAAAGACATATGGAGGTGCTGAGGGTGAAAGATCAGCTCAGAAGTTATCAGACGACTCTTCTTGTTGGAGGGAATCAAACCCTCCTGGGCAGATCCTGTCTGTTCAGCCTACAGGGAGCACCTGAGCCAAATCATGCCTTCCCCTACACCTCAGTTGCACCCAGGTTTTGTCTTAGAATAAACCATTAAGCCCCTGCTCCACTGTAATGACTGACCTAACTTACATGCAGTGTGGACACTCAGGGGACCAGCAACTGGGAGCGAAGCAAAGACAGAGCTCAGGACTCATGAATCACTTTTGATACCAAGTAAGATGAGGAAAATATCAAATGAACCATTCTTCAAATAAAGATGAGGCTGAAACTCATGTTATTTCAAAACTGAAATCCTTCCTCATCTTGACAGCATGACTGTTTTTTCTACTGTGACTGAAATAACTCTTTGAAAGAGGCTACGTTCAAATCTGCAGTTTTATAAACTAGACTGAAATTTTAATTCTCCCATAAAAGCATTTAGCTTAGAGGGAGCAGAATGATGAGACAGAAACAGTTCCCAGCTGCAAAGTCTGATTTTTTTTCTTAAGGAAAGCCAATCAATGGAGACCAGCCTGGGAACCTAACTTCTGATTTGCACAGAGATATCACTGTTGAGTCTGCATTTTTATCCCATGGATTAATAAAAGTCAACACTTTTGAAAGCCATAATCCCACCAATTTATGTGTGGTCTGCTGGATCTTTTCTCTTTGCATCTATAATGCTGTGTTCCCATTACTACTCTCATCTAGGAAATTACCCACTGAAAGGCTTCATGCATACACATCTTTTCTGCTGTGTTGCAAAGTGAGCATTGTGAACATTTAAATTTATTTGTTTTCAAGCGCAGGTCCAGCAAATAACCTAGCAGCATTGTGCCACTTACTGAGGTTTTGCCAGCATTGTTTTGTCTCCCAGTCTGTTAAATTGTAAGCAAAAAAAGGAGAGTAAGGGAAAAAAAAATTCAGCTTGACTCCATACAACACCTGCAGAAGGGCTAACTCTGGATTTCTAGAGACACTTTTGCTTATTCTTGCTCCTCATTCTTAAATATTCAGTCCTTTGCTCTGTCATTTCTAGTTGCCAATTTAATACAACATTCAGGGATTAAAAAATCTATTTGTATAATTCATTATAATTGTATAATTCATTAATAGCTTTATTGTAACAGGCCCCTTGACAGAATCATGTCTTTAGAATTCATATGTGGATCGTACAGAGGAAAAGAAATGCAATAAAATGCATGCCACGTAATGAATTGTCTCTCTGCTGCTGGTGGTGTTAATAGAGTGGACCGGCACCTAGCTGACCCTTGGCAGTCACTGTGATACCTAGTGCCCCTTACAGCTTTTAAGTCTCAAGTTATATTGCAAGACTGACTGCAGAATGAGAGAAGTGAAAATTCAAGTTATGCTATCTCTGCATATTCACATAAATTTATTATCTCCATTACCAGGTCAGGCATCTGAAGATAACGGTCCTTAAATTTTCAATTAAATTTTTGCCATTGTAACAGACAAAAACAAATGTCATGTTCAGAAAAAATGCCTTATTTGCTGAAAAAAATCCCTTCATCATCAAGATTTTAGCAGTCGAATGAGGTACACAGGCATTCATTAGCACAGCAGACATGTCTAATTGGCCTACTATTTTGACAATTCATGAACTAAAAAAGTACTTAGTATGATTAATGATATCTAAGATGGGGGCGCATCTTAGAGTCTATAAATAAGACAGCTCTGTGTTTGGAGACAATGTGAAAGTGTGTGAAGTTTTAAATAATTAGTAAACAGCATTTTTAATAGAGTCAACAATTTGTTTCTTGCACAAAACAATAAAGGAATGATTTAAATGGACAAGGCATCAAAAATTAAATGAATTATATGTACAGGGAAACTAGGTGATATTCCTGACCAGTTCATCTCCTGTGGATCAGTCAAACATGGATGGACACCTGCCATCCTTATATTTTAATGTTCTTGCTTTCGGCAGCTTCAGAACAACATGTATCAGTTTGGGTGTTTTAGACTTTACTCATGACTACTTGGTTCAGAACTCTTGACCGACCACTGGCAGTCGGCAGCACCTAGTCAGTCACTCAGGAACTGTCTTGAACTAAGGAGACTGTATTAAAATCCATCACTGGGGGGAAAAATGCTCTGATTCATTGCCTTTGTTTTTCTGATTTTACCTCAAATGTCCACAGAAATATTTCTGTGCCATGTATAATGTCCATATAACTCACAGATGATATTACAAGTATCAGCATTGCTGTCATCAATATATTATTGTAAAGGATTGCAGAATGCCCACTTAATTCATTTTATATAATACAGTTTATCTAAATGATCAGGAGTAGCTGGACATATAACAGTTTCTTAAAGGAAGTCTTAGAGTAAAACTTTTTTAAGAAATACTTAGGCATCTGAAGTTAGCATCCAATTCACAATTCTCATCTCAGTGACACTATGAGAGTACTGATATTATCAAACTTCCAGCATCTAACTTCAGTAGCTGAACCTTTCCTGGTATCTTGGAGCTCTTCCAACAATGTGGGAACCTAATTTAGATCCCAACTTTCCTTGGGAAGAGTCTCTCTTTCTCTGCTGAATACATACCGTAAATGTGGCTTAAACATCCATTTTCTCCTACCACTGACCCCAAAAGGCAGGTTTGCTGTTCGTTCATCCCTAGTTCTCTCATTGGGGTTGTGTTCTGAATACCTGTATTACCACAGCAGCATGAAGGACACTTACATTCACAACAGACTCTTTGAATTTGATGTGAAGTCTGTAATTTGAAAGTGCAATGATGGCATCTTCTGCTCGTCCTACATACTCGGTACTCTCACCATGAAGTTCAATGAACGGGACCTTCAGGATGGGAAGAGAAGACTTTTAGAAAGCATTTACCATGTAAACCATGTATATCCTAAAAATACCCACTCAGGGACACATCCACAAAAACGAACTGAAACACTGCTAGGGGCTTAGCTTAGCTGTTATTGCTAAGAACAGTTTCTGGTAAGGTTGGTCCATAGGTTAATTGTAGTCTTTGTTTTAAAAGATTCGTTATTTTCTCTCAATTTTCTTGAGTAGCATGTGCCTGTGTTTTTTTTCTGAAAATATTTTGCAAAATAGCTTCATATTGTGTCAGTGTTGTTAAGTGTTTGACCTCATCATTTACGATTTTACTTTTTACTTCATAGAGAGATGCATTCATATGATGATTAAATTCATCCTAAAGGCAAAACATGTAAGATGAATAATCTTTTAGGCTATTTGTCCCCAGCATTCACGAAGCACACCCAGATGACTAGCTTATGTATGCGAGTACTAAAGGAGAAAATTTGTTTCTCCCATAATTGTGCTGACTTGGCAATTAAAATTCTACAGAAGAAGCCAGAGAATATACAGCTCAACTTCTGTTACTGTGATTTTAACTGGCAAGGGGCAATGTGGTGATTACCTGAAGGTTTTCATCCTCTCGGATCAGCTGCTTCCTGGGAAAAATCTGATTAGCCTGGATGCATTCAAGGCTGTGCTGAGTCTCTTCATCCTGAGAAACAAAGCCTTACAGTTAACTTCTGCACTGACATAGACTTCTTCACCACTCAGCAGCCTTTCAATGCCCAGTGAAAAGCTCCAACAGGATGGACTCTTTAGAGCACCCAGCTATCCATAACCTACTAAAGTTACCAAACTTACAAAGACAGGCACTCAAACAACTAAATGTGGTATCAGACACAAGTTTTCTTCCTGCAGCATGACTAATAAAGTCATAAAAGGGAAAGATTGGTTTATTCTTGTATTGTTTTATTACAATAAAAACATTAGCCTGAGCCTAGTACAACACTTATGATTCTACAATGCCAGGTATAAATCTTAATTCTCTAATGCTTTTCAGGTATCAGCCTGTTTGACTCTGTAACAGCTCCCACAAAAACCTTTTGCTTACCATGACAGATCCTGGATAGGAGGAGAAATCCTCGTCTTTACTCAAGTACTTAAGGGGCTTCTTCACTTATTCACTTCTTCACTTATTAAAATCTGGAATTTCAGAAGAGTGTAAAGATGAAGACAAATTCATTTGCTTTTGCCAGATAAATACAGATTGATTTTTAAAGGTTGGTAATACAGCTATTAGAAAACCCCACGTAAGCAATAGTTATGAAAAGATGAAATCCATATAAACTAGCTCTCCTGAGAGACAAAATGGTCTAAAAGTGTGTCTAATCCTTCTGTACATTCTGAAAAACCATCACTGAATGTACTGAGAGGAGTATACTAGTTTGAATGAAGCGATTAGACCTGCTTATATCTTTTAGATCTGTTTATATCTTTGAAGTGAGAACATTTTCATTTTTCTATATCACCCTGAATCTTCTCCATAGGCATTTTGCAGATGCTGATTCACAAACATACAGGTTATAAAACCAAGGAGATTGTGGTAATCAGTCTGGTCTGGTAACATAGGTTGTAGGATTCTCCTTAAGTTTTTTTTTTTTGAGCTACAGCCTATGTTTTAGGAAAAAGATCTGCTTTTTATATATTGCTTTACTGACAGGGAAGACACCACAGTTTTAATGGTGTGCTCCTTAATAACCACACAGAAAAATCTGCTTATTTCCAAGCATAAAATATAACCTTTACTTCTTCCAGCCTCAGAAGATCATTAATATCTTTCCAGCTAAACTTAAGCATCGTATATATCCACATTTATTTTTCCCATGTGAATACTTGTTACCAAATTACCCGCTAAATCTTCTCTTTGGTAACCACTGGGACTCCCCAGTTGGCACCTTCCAACCCTTTTCCCATCCTCATATCTCTTCTCTGCACTCTTTTCTAACACATTACCTGTAGACACTAGGACTGGCCCAGCAGCTGTCAAAACAGTGCCAAACTCAGAGTTAAAGTTCTTCACTCTTTATCCACTTTCCCCTTTTTATGGATCTGCAGACTGCATTTTGGCTGGTTCCACATGTCTTGCTGACTACTCCCTAGAGCACCCAAGTTGTTTTTGCAGTTGTTATTTCTGAGGATAGAAGTCCACATTGTACAATTATGGCTTTTTTCCTCTACGACTGGGTGTATCAAGATACCCCTTTCCTTGCACCTACCCTTCCCAGAGCTTTCAGCCGCTCTGCATGACTCACTTGCAGACTCCTCGAACAAGCCCCCAGTCTTTTATCATCTGCAAATTGTGAGAAAACATTAAAGGGTCACACACTTGGTGCAATCAACCCTATTAGGAACAACCAAAGCGAACATAAGAATTCGAATTTAAACTCAAGTTCTGTCTGCTCTTCAGTTTCTAATTCAGGTAGGTTCTTTCACCTTTAAAAACGGATACACATACTTTATGAGGTCTGCTACCTGCATCATGTAAAAGATACAAAGTTAAACAGAGCAACTGAGTGCAGCCAGCTCGCTGGTCATATGCCACATTGCTCATTGATAAATTTGGAATTATCGGTGTTGTGGTTGACAGAAGAATAATATTTCAAATACAGCAGCCCGCAGGCACAGCGATAACACAGGAGGTGTGACCGATACTCTGTGCATCGTGCAGCATCTTTACAAAGGTAAAAGGAGGGGGAGATGGATGAGTCTGAGCCTAAAACATCCCTCTGTGTAAAAACGTATACAGATCAATGCAAGAGCACTGCTCTGTCCCTGAAGTCTCTTTTAAACACACTATTCCAATAAACAAAATGCCTTTACCCTCCCGGGGAAGGCAAGCAGCAGAGTATAAAGGCTTGCAAGCGGGTTCAAAATACCACAGTTCATTACAGGATCTAGAACAAGGCGTTGAAGGAACAGTGTCAGGGTACAAACACTCATCTGCAGTGTGAAATGTGGCGATGAGCGTGGGTTAACTCACATTATTTTATGAAAGTCCAAGGAAAGCTGAGCCTCCCCCGTTTCTGCATTTTTACTCACTTTTTGCTATCTCATAGCCTGCTTTTTCTGCCAGTCTCAGGTATTGGGTACCCACAAGCCACAAGAGCAGGGGCATTACACACTGTGCTACTAAACAGAAAGGGCAATTCCTTAACCATTTTCAGTATTATAGAGGGAAATTGCAGGAAACTTCCATTTAGGTTACAAAAAACGGAGTTCAACAGTAAGCACATTCCACATAAGATATTGTGGGAGTTTAAGAAGAGATAGATGCTATTTTCTAATAAACTACATTGTGTGCAACAATGCAACTTTCTTCTGGACTTCATTATTGCAGAAAAAAAATGGTTGTTGTTATTCACTGAGCTGGAAAGTTATCCTTGCCTCATACTTGAAAATCATGACCATATTGCATATGGTAAACTGAGGAGCATGTCGACCACAGCACACACGTATACTTGTTCAGGAATATAAGTATATAAAATTGGAGGAAAATATAGGTAGAATTGAGATAGAACTGCCAGTAAGTCTTTGAAAAAAAATAAAGGAAATGTTATATATAAGAGCATAATTTTAAGCAAAAGGAAAAAACAAAAACTACACGGCTTGACAGAAAACTGAAACCATCAACTAAGCAAAAAACTAGCAATAAGAAAAAAAACGAAAACCCAGCACAGAAATTTCCATGACTGCAAGAATGAAGTCAGGTAACCAGATTCTTTGAAGTTATTAGAAACCAAGGAAATCTAGAAATCTTCTCTGCCGACAGCAAGATGAAGACAGTATTGCTGTGAATAATGATTTCAGAAATGCAGAATTATTTAATAAATATTCTTGTTTTAAAAGAAACTGGAGGATGAAAAGAGCTCCATATGGAGCTCTATATGAACATGAGATCCCCCTGCAGCTGAGGAGAATATTCAGCACATCACAGTGATTAAAGCTAAGCAGGCCATAAATTCATCACGTTTGACCTCTCGCATATCAGAAGTCACAGCACCCAGCCCCTGCCTTCAAACCAAGACCTCGGCCTTGACTACAACACAGCTCTGTATTTTATGCAGGCTGTGCTTGGTTACGTGCATCTTCCCACCCAAATCTAGCCTTGCCTCAAAGGCATCAAGAAATGAGAAATGCAGCAGTTCTCTCAAAGGCAACTGTTTTAGCTTCTAATCTTTGGTTCTGACTGTATTTTTCAGATTAAGCGATGCACCTTTGTCCTTGATCTGCAAGATTTAAGAAAGGAAGCTCCTGCTCAAGGAAATTTAAAATGACAGCTGGCTAAACCATAGGCTTATCTGTCCAAGCGACCTCTGTCCGCAAGCTCATCAGTCAAGAAAAGGCACCGACTGGATTATCTCTGCAGCGTATCCTGATACAATGAAAATTAATGATTCAAGAGAAGATGGGTTTGAGAATGTACAGCTCAGCGCAAGTCTCCTTCTCCACCCGTAAGGCAATTATTAGTTTACACATCCTGTGTCAAGCCAAGAGCCAGCCAGAGGAGGGGAGAAGAGCACCAGTGTGGTTAGCCAAGCACCTCTGTGCAGGACGTCTCGGGATGCCTCGCTGGCAGGAGAGGGGCTGCTGGCACTACCACCTTCTGCAGCCAAGTCCCTTCTCGCCAGCGCCGAGGCTGCCCTTCCAGAACCAGCACCCGCAGCGCGCGCGGCTCAGACCAGGCAGCTCCACATCACTAAAAAAGACTGAGCGAGTTCAGAAAATATCTTCAATTTCAAGCACAATTAATAAAGAAACAAACACCTCATTAAAAAGTTGAGCTTTTCTACAAATCTAAAGCATGCCTAGTGTCACTGATGAGAGGTTTTCATTTGTTGAGCACTCTATGTGACAAAATTGTTCCTTTACGTTTTTTATTGGTTAGCTATATTCATGTTAAAAATATAGAGTGTACTAACCTCCTGCACGTTAATAAAAAGAATATTAACTTAAAGAAATAGCTCTTTTAAAAACTGCCTAAAATCCAACACGAACCATTTGCAGAGACCATTTGCAGATAACAGCAGAACAAGTTTCTTAAGCTGCATTCAGCTGCAAAACTGCTTCTATTACACTGATGTAGTTTCTACATGAATGCATAGAATTTCCCTTCTTTAAGTGAATTTTGAGAAAATCATGTGAGCAAAAATGTTTTCAGTTTCAGTTACAGTGTTTTCAGTTTCAATTAACAGCTATAAACTGTGATGTTACCAAGGTAAAAGGTACAAGAACTTACAAAAACCATTTCTGGTATGAACAGAGCCGGCATGCTCAGGCTGATTCTAGATGTTAATGAAATGCTTCATCACCTTAACTGCTGTAACACAAAAATACTGCTAAAAACTGCTGGCAAATACAGCAAGAAAAGTATTTATTAGACTGAAGATTGTTGATCTGATGGAAAACAAATCCACCTGAAGGATGGATCCTTCAGGATCCAATCCTCATTTCCCACCACACCAGCAAGCTGACCTCACTCATTGCATTGCTAGATGATCATGGTCACTAGATTGAATAAGGGAAGGACACCCGGAGACCACGACCCTTCTTGGCAATGCCACAAAGTGCAAAACGAGCTGCGA